TTCGAAAAAAAAAAAAAAGAAAAGAAAAAGAACGCGCAAAATGAATGTATCGCCTGACGCGAAGCGACGAATGAATCTCAATATAAAGCGACTGGGTATGGAAGAAACGCGAAATACGGGCGGTAATCCTACGGCGTTATTAATAATTCGTCGGTGAGCTGTCATACGGAACTTCAGATAGGTAACGCTGATGTCCCTCCTCTCCGAGAGAAAATTCAGGGGATTCGTTAATCAAATTTCGCGGCGACCGAGAGATTCCGCGGGCGACATCGTGAAACATTTATATCGCCGCTGTTATCTCGGGGATACGCGGGGACTTAAAAAAAAAAAAAAAAAAAAAAAAGGGAGAGAAAGAAAGAGGAAAGAGACTCTGTACCTTAACACGCTGTTAAGATAATTTAGCGAGGGCTAAACTTTAAATATTAACACGCAATGAAATATCTCGTTGCGGTTGAAGTGCACGAGTCGATTGCGCGTGGAATAAAGAAATCGTGAATCACGCGGTCGTTTTGCGAAATTACGTGAATTCACATTTCTGTGAAAATCGCTGGTTATATAGCGTTATAAATTAATGGCTCCATTTCCTGCTCAAATAATATTAGTTCGGGCAGTCCCTCAGCGTTTTGCGGTATAGGATGTGTCGAGTCTATAATAAATACGCATTGAACGAATGAATGATGAATGAATAGCGAATGTAAATTTACGGTAGAAACGAGAAGAAAAAACGGAGGAACATTCGCATTCATTGTTTTCGTTTACTCTTTGCTCACTCAATGGATTTCAATTCGCTCATATATTCATCTTTAAACAAGTAAAGTGAATAAAAGAGCAACATGAGAAACGGAATATATAAGGTGTTCCAAGTCAGATCAATGAAACTTCAGGATCTTATTGGAAATTGAATTTAGAACAAAAAGGTCCCGATAAATATAGATCCGGAAACGCTTTGTTAAAAAGCTAATAAACTCTCTGTAAGTAATTAGTTATGATCAAAATTTAATAAAAACATTTTATGTTTGCATTTGCAATGTTTGCACTACGAATGTAGTGTTTACACAAAGACCATCGAAAGGTGGTTTTTTTTCAAGTTTTTGCTTTTTTCCTTGTTTTTAGCTTATTTTCTTTTGAACGCCTTATCAGAATTAAATAAAATTGATGTAATCTAGTTTGTTATTTAATTACCCATCAGATTTATTTCGTTACTTTTTTCAGATGAATGAAGGGTTTTGAAGTTATTTTTAAAAATCATCAAAAAAACGTGATTTTTCGAAATTTATTAGCTATAACCTTTTAACGAAGCGTTTCCGGACTTATATTTATGGGAACCTTTTTATTCCAAATTCAATTTCCCTGAAGTTTCATTGACCTGATCTGGAACACTCTGTATACTCATCTTTAAACTAGTAAAGCGAATAAAAGAGCAACATGAGAAACGGAATATTGAGTTGCGATCGAATTCATATTTTTTGAATGTTAACAATTAAATAGCTAATGATATACAGTTGGCTTTTTAACATATGTATATTGCATGTTCCAAACGATCCGCACAAATTTTTGTAACATAATATGGCTATGTTAAATGGTGACACTAATACTACGTTACGTATTATTACTATGTTAATATTTCAGCACAAAATAAATGCTAATTTCATAATAACTTGAAATAAATTTTGTGTAAAATCAACATATCTTTAATGATAAAATTAGCTTGGAAAAGAAGTTATTGGCGGTCTGTAGTTCTTTTTACTATTATAGAATAAAATCAACATTTTTTTCTGTAAATGTTAACAGATAAATCATGTCACTAATAATACAGAACATATATATTGTGTAAAATTAAGTTATTTTTCTCAGTTGTTTTATAATAATTCAACTTTGAGTTCAATTAACAGCAATATGTTAAATTAACACATGGATGTCTTAAATACTTAACACAGAAATTTTAACCGGCATATTTTTTAACAAAAAAACAAATTTTCCAGCTGTGTATGTGTTCTTGTAAAATATTGGTTAAAGAAAAATTGATCTTTCTCATAGACAAATAATTTTGTTTACGTTCGTATTTTTGTCTGAATTCTTATTTTGCCTTTCGTATGTATTTTGCCTTATATTCAATATACTTCGCCGGTAATAAGCAAATATCATTTCCAATCGGCGGCTGCCGTAATAGATACGAAGCCGACGGATTCGCCGGCGTTGTCGACTAATTAGATCGCATGGGAGCTTCTCCGATTCGTGTGTCTTCGCGAGGGAAACGGATTATCGATTTCGCTCGCGGAGATAATAGCGATATTCGCCGCCTTATGGCGTCCAAAAGAGACGGTAGCTTCCCTCATCTGTGGCGACGGAAACTCGGATCCCGCAACGCTACCTCAGTCGACGAGTGCCCGCGAACTTCCGTAACTTGGTTCAATATCGTGGAATAGAATGATAGTTTTTGCGATACGAGATAAATGGCTGATGCGAAGCGTCTGGCTCGCGGGATATTATTTTCAACGTTATTGGCTTTTGATAAGAAGGCTAACATTTGGACTCGACTTCTCCAAGGCTGCCCCCCCCCTCCCCCCAGATAAAAGAAGTGACACTCGTTAAAGCTTAACGCCAAGTATTCGTATGATTTAGATTAACGTTCGTACGCGTTAGTGTGTCCCCGTTATCCTAATTGAAACTCGTTTCTGCACATATTGTGTACGTATATTATGTATGTGTAATTGATTAAAAAAAAAAAAAAAAAAAACAGTAGCGAAGAAAAATATTAAATCTATGAAAAGATCGAGCGAGCAGTTTTGCCTCCGGTGAATTTTTGCCAAGCAATCCGAGAACATTCCATATCGCAACTTCCAAATAACAATCATAGCCGGGGTCGAGGAAACATTCAGAGAGACTCGTTGAACGACTCGTATCCATAAAATCTCTTGATAAAGAGAACGAAACGGGGGGAATCGGAAGACATTCCACAAAACATTTTTGCTCGCCGTTTTCCGCGCGTAAGAGGATTAAATTAAAACGCTAACATCGAGAAATCGCTTTCATCTTTATGAGATTGCCCGGCGTGCGCTTTGCAAGCAAAAGGGGGGAACGCGGGGACGCGAGGGATAGTGGGGGGAGGGGGAGGGGAGGACGAGAAGGGAAATGCAGGCACGGACGCCGTCGTCGGGACGGACGTGGGTGGAGAGGAGGGGGAATCGATCGATCGAATTATCTCGCTAAATCTGCGCGAGCAGGGAGAACCGATAAGCGCGGCTCTCTTTCGAGATTTCTGTCATGCGAAATGCAGTCATGAAGTCCCTCCCGCGTCTAATTGATTTCGTCAAGAAACCAAGAGAGAGAGAGAGAGAGAGAGGCGTAATTCACGCTGACAATTGATGGCGGTTTATCGTACATTCGATATCATTATCGGTCAAATAATTCATCATTATCCAATCGATAAATTTCTATATTTAGGTTTAGGCTAGATTTTTTGGGGTGGGGATGCAGGGGGAAAATCGGAATCCCTCCCCCGTCCATGCGTTTACTTTTTAGATATACATAGTGTAGTACTAAATAATTATCAGCTCATCAGTTTTCTGATATAATATCTAAATGCATAATATTATAATAAGGAATCGATCGTTTGCTCGCTTTAAAAATATTATTAAATCATTAAAATGTAGCGCGAAGTTAGTTAAAAAAATTAATTTTTTTTTTTTTTGCCAAGAGCGATTTTATATACTTTTATTATATAAAATGTCACTTGATGACTTTCCCTAAGAATGAAAAATTGTTTGCCCGCTTTTAAAATATTATAACTCATA